CACAGCATCTGTATTATCGAATGGAAAAGTATTAGTTACTGGTGGATCCATTAATAATTTTGGTTATTTAAATAGTGCTGAGTTGTATGATCTATCAACAGGTACTTGGACAACTACTGGTAACATGACTAATGCACGAGAAGGGCACACAGCATCTGTATTATCAAATGGAAAAGTATTAGTTACTGGTAGCTTTTTAAATAGTGCTGAATTATATGATCCATCAACAGGTACTTGGACAACTACTGGTAGAATGACTAGTGCACGAGGAGATGACACAGCATCTGTGTTATCAAATGGGAAAGTATTAGTTACTGGTGGATGGAGCGTTCATGGTGCTTTAAATAGTGCTGAGTTATATCAAATATTTGAAACAAATTAACTTTCAGTTGTCTTACCCTTTTCCTTAAAAGTAATTCAAATTACAAACAATACTTTAGTTAGAAGGATTCTCATTTTATAATGTCCGTGAACTATTTCCCTCCGTATTTTTACTGAATGATCAGCCACTTTAGTGCTCGAATCCAAATAAAAAAAAAATTTTGTTTTTTCACTCTTGAAGATTAATTTGTTTATCTTTTCAAATGTTCTCTCATTTGTATAGTATCGTTTCTCAATATATTTAACTATTTTGATAGTATCCATCTGATTTAGAATGTATAATCAATGGTACATTTCGCTTACAAGAAGACTTTGACGTAAGTTCATGAATGACATAGATAAGCATATCTGTAAATAACAACAACAAACGACAATACAAAACAAAATCTATAATCATATCAGATATACGAACTAATGAAGTAAACAAAATACTTACATTCAACTTACCCTGTATTTATATGAATATGTATGTTGACGAAAAAGAATAGAAAATAAGATAATTTTTGTATAATTATGTAGTGAAACTTATCAGCAGGTTCGAGTATTTCCTACTGACATTCATTTCTGGACTTATGATCCGACTGAAAGTAATTGTGATGAATGTAGAATTAAATTCTATATCGGATGATACAATTTTCGAGTGGGGCTCAGTGTTTTTATGGATGCGAATGAATATGAGTGTGGCTGTAGACCTTCTTCAATCTCTATACTCACACCCTCAATAAAAAAAGGTTGAAATCTTTTGATAAGTCCACATAATTTGTCAGAATTGAATAATTCATATCATATTATAACATAATCTTGCCGATTTAAAAATAAATTTTTTTAAATTGAAACTTTTGATAATTTATTTTGATTAAAAACAAAAAAAAAGTCTAAATGGAATAGCATACGAATAAGACAAGAATACGAACGTTCTTATCAGAGATCAAGTTCATTTCCATTTATTTTATTACTCATAGAAAAAATTCTACATGCAAATAGAATGTCCATCAGTGGAAAAGTCGAAATATGTTCGAAAAAAACAAAATAAAAACTAGGATAAAACCTAATTTCATTAAAGTAATAATTCAAATATTTATATATCATCTTTCGTTTATTACAATGATATTTAATTAAAAAAGACATACGCAATACATCAAAACAACAGAAAAGATTTTTTCAAATCAATTTTTCGGACATTTTATAAAATGAAAAACAAAGATGAAGTTTTTTAAAAAGATTTAAAGATCTCTTGAAATGTCAGTTTGTTTTTGAATTGAAATGGAAGATAAAATAATTAATATCATTTCCATTTGAAATTCTTATGATATTAAACAATACACAAACAAATGTTATAAACAATGAAAAAATTTATGACAAATCCCAGACGTTTTCTAATTGTGAATATAAAATAACAGGATTTTTTGTCAATATCACTTGTAACTAACAAAAAAACCTTGAAGAAGTTAATCAAATACAGTACATAATATCATTAAAACAAACACTATTGTTGTTTCCATTTCATGTCCTTAATTTGATGAAGAATTTGTTGGTGAATTATGATGACGAATATTTACCATTTATAATATACTAAATATCACCAGAATAATAAGATGAAAAATGTTTAAAAATAATATTGCCATTATTCTAAATAACATCTTTTCTAAACTTATTTCCATTACTGAACTTATCTAATAAAGTGTTTCACTAGACTTTATTCAATATAATTTAGATAGAACAACATTTGTTAATACTAATATAATAAATCACATTAAATAATTTGGTATAATTAATGAACATACTAATATTATAATATAAGAATATTTAACAAGTATTTGTTTAGATTTTAATGTTGTTGCATAACAAATCTAAAAGAACATTATTTTCAATTTAGTTTTTATTTTTAAATAAATCAAAACTTATAATATGAAGAAGACAAGTTAATTATAATGCAATTAAAATAAGATTTGAATAAAATAGTCCAAAATCTATATGAATGTGTCATTAATCAACAAATGAATATGGGTCATGAATTATGTAAAAATATAACGAATATATTTATATTATATGATAATAACATTATTCTATCAAATAATGTAACATTTAGGTGTGGATGTCCATTGTTTACTTGTATCTGCATCCACCCTCAAATTATATTAAATATATTTTTTGCTCTCTCTCCAAGAATAATGTTATTCAAAAAAATATCAAAAAAAAATGTGTGCAACGAATGAATTCTTACAAAAAAAATGATTATGTATACATGAATCTGTTCCAGAGATGTTTTCTTTTAATTTCATTAACAAAGCAAGATCACATAACTAATAAGGTTTTCAACTTCGATTGAAGAAATATTACAATTTTAGATGTGATCAAAGAATAAAAGAAAAGAGTATTTGATGAGGATGAAAGCGATGGTCATAGAAGAGTTTTTTTGAAACAGACGTATACAAAATAAACTTTTTAATAAATTTGAATGAGTAAATCAATCAAAAATAAAAAGAATCTATTTTTGATTCCAAGGACGCAGACAAGTGTTGAGAGAAACAGTTTA